CCATGGACTGACACCTCTGTGACAGTAAGCCAAAGAGCTTCCTTTATGGTGTGGGGATCATGTACTTTGTCCAGCAATGAGAAAGCAAATACTGATATACAGATAGCAAAACCTGTTAAGAGAAAAACACCTGTGGACTGATGACTTAGCCAGGCCCGGTTTGAGGCCTCCAAACTTAAATCTCCTAAGTGGCTACCTATGTTAGGCTTTCCTGTCTCTTACATATTAACCCAGAGATGCCAAGATCCTGGGTCAGAGTGCCTATTACTCTTAATGGAAGGTCACCTTTGAGCCTCAGGAATCATTGCTGTATTCAAGAAGTTGTGCTCATCAGGAAATACGGTGTCCCTAATGTGTTTCTGGGGTGAATGCCTCATTCGCACGTCTGTGTGGGCTCACAAAAGATCCTTTCACAGACATATCTAGGACAACCCTACAAGCAAAACCTGCAATTCTGGGTCCTGCAGCTGTTAGTAATTTGGATCATCCAGGAGTCTCCCTTCCACTCCCTACTTGCTATCCTATGCTTTTATGTCCACTTTGTACGGGCTCCAAGCAGTGTTGGTTATGGATGTAAGTCCCTGTCCCTCGCAACACCTAGGAATTTGCCATTCTGTTCTTTTTAGCTGGCCCCATCAGAGACCTGAACTGATCTATAGCCCCAGATGCAAGCTATTCTCAGCCCTTGTACAGCCTGTTTTCAGTGCTGCAATAGTTGGAATCCAGGGAGATTCTGTGATACATGAAAGCACAATGTACAGTAAATACAAAGTGCCATTTCATGCTCCCAATTCCAGGGTCATTCCCATGCTGGAACTTCCATAAAAGGCTACAGAAGGAACCCTGGCCTCACCCTGAATCCCACTATCAAGTCTCATGTTACTTTGGGAAGAGGCGGTACCAGAACACCATTTGCACTGGTAGCAATAACTCACTTTTTCTATACTTTTCCCAAAAGACAAGAATTTGTTTAAGCTAGTAAACACAGTTCAAAAACACTACCTATTCTTCATAAACATGATCTACTTTCCAGGTATTTAAAATCAACTATTTTTTTAAACTCTTACTTTTACTACAACTAAAAGTATTTTTAATCATTATTGAGAGCAGTGGCTCTCGAATAGTGGTCCAGAGCCTTTTCAGGTCCACAGATCAAAGCTATCTGCCCAACACTCAGATATTATGTGCCCCCTTCACTATCAGTTCTGAGAGTTTTCCAGAAGCTAAGTGATAGTACCACTTCAAGTGGGAACAGGCGTGAAAATCCAGTTGTCAGTTAAACCACACATAGATTTGTAGGAACATAAATGTTGCCTTCTTGTTACTTAAGACTTGAAAAGTAATTTCCAGCAGGGCGTGGTGACGCATGCCTACAATCCCTGCACTCAGGAGGTTGAGGCGGGAGAATCGCTGCAAGTTCAAGACCAGCCTGGGTTACAAAGTGAGCTCAAGGCCAGCCTGAACTGCATAGCAAGACCCTGTCTCAAGAAAAGTAATTTCCATAAAATGTTACTTATGGGAATATGCAAGAGCTTATTTTAAGTAGAAGTGTTTAAAATGGGTAAAAAATTTACATGAATCTTTATGTCAACATGGTACCAACAGATATACCCTAAACAAACAAAAGTCCTTTGGGGTCCCCAGAGGTTTTCAGGAGTCTAAAGAAGTCCTGAGTTCTTTTTGCAGTTAGCCGGTGTTTGGTCATGGAGGAGAGTTCCAGGGATGTGACTTGAAAAGGGTGCCCCTCATTGTGCCCTTTTCATCCAGTGAGTAATCATCCAAAGACAGTAATGAGCAGAACTGCTTCAGTGCTGCCTTTCCCCAGCTGCTTCTGCCTGTCTCATTCAGTTTCACCTGATTCCTCAGGTAGCGGCCTTTGATGACTGTCACCTAAGTTCAGGTTAAGCCTTTTCTATAAGCACTTGCTCTCTGAGGTGGAGTTGCATTTTAGGAAGCCTCACAATCTTGAGCCACAGCCTAAGGCACCTTGAAAACTCAAAAGTCAGGAATTAACCTTGTACTTCAGAAGGAATTTTCTGCCCTTCCCTGGGAGTGGCAGAGGTCAGTTTTCTTTGTTACTGGGTTGGGGTTTAAGTGGAAAAGTTCCAAGCTTAACACAAAAGAGTTGTGGCACAAATAGCAGATTTTGTTTCAACTTTTATAGATCCATGCACAGTTGATTTTGATAGTCAACGCTGTTTAAGAAGCAACTTGAGATGGGCATGGTGGTGCACACCTGTAATTCCAGCACTCGGGAGGCTGAGGCAGGAGAATTGTTGTGAGTTGGGAGGCCAGATTGGGCTACACAAATGAGTTCAGGCTAGCCTAAACTAGCCTGAATTGCCTCAAAAAGACAAAAAAAAAAAAAAAAAAAAAAAAAAAAAAAAAAGCAACTTCCTGGAACTCATCATTACAGCACAGGTAAAACAAGTTTGGAAAAAAGATGCTTCTCTACTGAAGAGAAAAACACTTTGCCTTATCATAAAAGAGAAAACACTCCTGTTTTAAAATTATAATCTAACAAATGCAGAGAGTACTAGGTTCTGCATAAGCTTTTCCATGGGGATGAGAGCCCAAGGCTTCTCAGGGGACAAGTCCTCTTGATGTAGGTTGGGTCCCTAGTATTGCCCCTGCAGACAGCAGTGCCCATCCCCCAGCACCACAGCAAAACTTTCCTCCACCCCAAACATAGGAAAGGTTCCTTGGTGAAGCAGAGGGGTGGGGGCTCAGTCTGTGAGTCAGAGGTCAGGTTTTAAGTCCCCAATCCCAGCTGCAAACACACTGGCAAATCCATTGGGCTGCACTTTCCTATTTGTGAATGGGGATAACGCCTATTTCCTAAAAGGTTTTCTGAAACAATATCGGGTCAAGTACCAAATCAGCACCACACCTGCCAAGTGCACAACAAATGGTCAATGTCACCCACCAAAATAACAGTACCTCCATGTTGGAAAGGGTTGAGGGGGCCTTCAAAGATGAGTTTGACAAATATTTACCAAAAGCCCCTTAAGGACAGGTAACTGAGCAAGTGTCATTCCTCTCCTCAGAGAGAAGCTAGGATTGCTTCCCTGATTTAACACAAATTTATGGGGTACGCATAGCCATTTTCCCAAAAAGTGACAAAATGAACACAACCTAATGACAAACTAATGTTCTTCATCACATAACTAGCTAAAAATAAATAAATAAATAAAAATTTAAAAAAATCCACACAACAGAATTCTGTAAGCCCTAAATTAAAGGATAATGCATCTCAACATTCAGTGTCATGACAGTTCCACAACACTTGAGTCACAAGAGTGGTGACAACAAGCCCACAGAGAGGCCGCATTCTCTAAGCACTCCCAGCCACACACAATTGTGTTTATAAAAGCTGTAATGTGGGGCTCCTTTCTGGGGTTTTTAGTTTCTATTTTTTACATATTGTTTAAACTTCCTAATATGTATTATCTCTAACTGAAACACACTAAAGTTGCCTTCAGCTTGGAAAAAAATTGATTAATCTTTTCATAAAGGTATATTAACCCTCTTATCAGCATCTGAAAAACAGAACCCCAGCACCTAAGTTTGACACCTAAAGAGAGAAGCAGAAGTATCTGTTCTATAAATTACTCACAAGATAATTATTGCCGAGTGATAAGTTTTATAATCATGGCTATATACTTCTTTAAAATTATGTACAACTACCTATTCAGTTTCCCTTATTGACTTCCCCTCAAAATTACTTCTCAAAGTAAAATGAAGCCTGGGCAATATGGACTGTCTCACAGGCAAGAGTGTGCACTCAGACAACATGAGCTCAATTAGACTTTGCGCTTTGCCCTCTTTCCTGATGAACATGTTAAAGTTGGCCGGATGGGGTTAATATAGCATTTGTAATTGAATTAGCACACCGATTCGATACCAACCATTACCATATATCCACAGAAGAGCCTACCATTTAAATAAGAAATTCAAAGGGGAGAGTCCTTAACAGAAAACTTTAATGGACTTGAGGGTCCACCAGGCATATGATAAATAGGGCCCTGGACATGGGTTACAGTGCAGGGATCTAAGGGCAACAGAGAGCAGGCCAGTAAACACGTTCATCTCTGCTCTTCAAGAGCCAAACGGAAGTTACATGGTATCACTGGACAAGCACACAACGCAAAGGAAAGAATGTCCTGTTAAAAACATGAATGAAAAGCAATTCTTTGGAACTGAGCACCCCCCGCCCCCCGGGAATAAGTACCCTAAGGCCTAGAAAGTGGCACCAACCACAAAACTTGACACAGAGAAAGTGAGTCAAAGTCCCAATCAAGCCCCACAGGAGGACAACTCCACTTTGTCTTCCAGGGCCACCGGAACCATACAAAGCACAGCAAGCGCTAGTAAACCCCACCGCACCAGGAAGGAAAGGGCTGGTCATGAGTGGGGACGCCAGTTTGTGCCCCTTTTCCTCACCAAACCACAACTCCTTTGCCGGAACTGAAACACGTATTAGTAAGGGACATCTTTTGGTGGAGAACTAGAAGAAAATTAAAGATAAAAGAGGGCAAAAGAGATTGTTCAGGGTAACCCCTGAGGCTGAAATTCTGCCTCTAGGGCTGGGGCTGAGTCCTCCCCTGCAACCTTACTGAGGTATCCACGCTGGGTTTAGAATGCGAAAACAATGACCCAATTACACTGACGTTTTGAACTCTAAGGAGGCCGAAGAGCTCGAGACTCTAGGGTGGGCGAGTTAGCAAAATACATTTAAGGAGGGCTGGGCGTGCCTCCCTCCCGGAGACCCGGGCCCCCCGCGTCCGCCCCGCCGCGGGCTGCGAGGTGGCTCAAGCGCACGCGGCCCTGCCCGCGCAATGTCGCGGCTCCGAGCCACCTCTCTACCTTCAGGGCTGGGGGCAAACGCTGCACGAACGCGGCCGTAACACCGGCCCGTGATTCAGCGGAAACCCGGGCACGCTGGCCGTCCAACCCGAGCTCTTTCGCTGAGGGCGCCAACCCCAGCGCCGGCCGCCTACCCAAAACAGGCCGGCCGCGACCCCCGCCCTCGAGAACGCCGGCCGCCGCCCGCGCGCCAGGCCGCACCCGCTGACCCGCGGCCGCCATCTTCTTGGCGGGAGCGGCGGTGCGCGGACTCGGATCCCATCCACCGGGCTCAAAGCCGGCCCCGCCCCGCTCCGGAGCACGGCCCGCGCGGCGCCCGCCCCTCTGCCGCCCCTGGGAACACTCACCGCAGGCCGCCAAGGTCCCACAGCCATTTTCTGAGCCGCGGCGGGGTTTGAGCAGTTAGCCGCGCGACGGGCGGAGGCCAGTGAGACGCTGCTGGCTAGAGCGGCGCCCTCGCGCGGCGGGCGGAGGCCGGCCACCGAGCTGCTGAGAGCCTAGAGCGGCAGGCTGCGCCGCCCGCCGAGGGGGCTGGGACAGTAGGCCGCTCGACACGCAGCTGTACTCCGCCCCGCGCGCATGCTCCCGTCGCCCACACCTGCGCCCTTGGCATACTATCGAAGTCCGCTTTGCCCTACACTTAAACTTAAAGATTGCTTCCCCCATCCGGGTCAAGGATTCCCGACCCTGGAGGTTAAAGCCAGAGGTGGAGGTTTCGAGGGGATTCCTCCGAGCGGCTTGGCGGGGTAGGCGCCCCCCGAGGGCCGCTGCAGGGATTGCACGCTGGCTGCGTTTCACATCTAAACGCTCTGAGCGGGTGGGGATGGCACTCCCAGGTGAACACTGCGTCAGAGGCGGGGGCGAAGAGCATCAGGAGGAAAGGCCTGCGTTCCCTTCTGCAGGCCTCACGTTTCACTCCCCCTTCAGCTGCAATTCGCATACGCGGAGCAGCAAGCGGCGTCCAGGTGTCAGGGTTCCCCTTGGACTTTTAGACTCTACTCCGTGCCAGAAACGAATCCTCTACCTCCCCGGCCACGTCCGCCCCACTCAGAACTACGGAACGCAATCCCTGGGCGCGCCTTGCAGCAGGGCATGGGGCTCACACAGCCAGCTCCGAGGCGATCCCAAGTCCCCACGGAGGTGGCGTCCACCAGACATTTACTACCTGGGGGCACTGTGAAGTCTGGTCGGTATAGACATTCCACTTGCTCAGCGCTAACCAGTGTGACGCCCTATTACCTCTGTCCCCAAGGAGCTCAGGAAACATGGGGAGGGACAGCTGGTGCCTCTAGGTGCCGTGGACATTGGCCACTTGCCCTGAGCAAACGGGTTTTGCCCATCCCCACGCCGCTAAAGGCTCCTGCTTCTACGCCTGTGCACCACACGTTTCTTGGAAGAAGGAACCCTTTGGTTTTAGCCCTTCTCCAAGAGCAGAGATGTCCAATCCATTTGTACCCACGCTGCAGAGGCCTCTGCTGCTTCCATGAACCGGGGACTCAGGCAGGTGTGTTTTCGAATCAGCACATCCCAAGACTACAGGCCTCCCAGTTTCTGAGAGGCTCAAAAAAAAAAATGTAGCTGTGGCAGAAGGCTGCCTTTCCAGTAAGGGACTGACTGACTGCAATCTGGCAGGAGAAGCCCGCACACCCCCTCTTTACTGTGCCCCCCATTGAGGCGGGAGGGTTCTGCCCTCAGAGGTGTCGTGGGGAGAAGGGGCTAAAACCAGCTTGAACAGGCAGTGGGGGCCCACACGGAGGGTAAGACTTGGGTAGAGACGCCTCCCGGCAAAGGGCACTCTAAATGGAGCTGATGTGGGGTGCCTCTGCCTAGTGCGTTTCGCTAAGGATCTTTCCCTGGTGCTGGGTATTGAACCCAAGATCTCACATTTTCTAGGAAAGGACTCCACCTCAGTGCTACCCAGCCTTCGGGATCTTAAAGTAAAGCCTTTTAAGTCCTGTGGTCCCGCTTGAAGCTGCGTATTCCGAGACAAAGGTCCCGAAGGAACAGAGGGAAGGGCAAGAAGGAAGCGCAGAAAATGCAGACGCAGCGGAGGGAAGCAGAAAAGCAGGAACCCAGTCTTGCAGGCCGCTGGCTCGCCCCGCGGGGCTGGGGAACTTGGCTCTGGTCTGAGCCCTCCCCGCCAGGGCGCCCACTAGGCTCCTGGGGGAAGAGGCTCTGCTTGAAGCTCCAGTTCTCCTCTTGGCTCATCCTCGATTACCTGCTGTCATCCTCCTGGGAGCGCCAAGAACGCGCCCTCCTAACCAAACGTTTTAAAGGTGAGACCTAGAGGACAAACCACCTCCAGTTGTCTCAAAACTTCCCTAAATGCCCTAATCTACAAAACCCCCAAGCAGCGGCAACGCGCTACGGCGGAGGAGGGTGGCCGCCTATCTAAGGAGCTCGAAAGCGTACCTCCAGCACCCGATAATCCTTTAAAACCGGCCGGCGCTGGACACTCTAGGTGGGAACTCTGGCCCAGCTGACTGTGGACCCCAAAGGCAAACGCCAGCACAGAAGCAGAAGCAGCGAGCGGCTGGCCTGGCAAAGGTTTAGCAGGGGAGGGGCGTGGCGCCGGGCGCCCCACCCACTACCCGCCCCCGAGGTGAGCCTGCCGCGCACCAGGGGAGGTGGGTACCAGCAGAGGCGGGACTCTGCTGAGACGCTGCTCGCTCTTCGCGCCTCCTCCCAGGCCAGGACGAGTCAGAAGGAACCCGGCAGGCTCCCCGGAACTCGCCAGCAGGCCAAGACAGGGCCCGCAGGACTCTTCCCCCGCTGCTCAGGCTCGGACACCCTGCAGCAGGCAACGACAGACCGGGCGGCTCTTGCGTGCCTGCGCCCCCTTAGTCCCGCATCCTGGTCGCCTGGCACTCAGTGCTCTGAACATTTGTGGACTCAGAACAGGTTCGTGGACAGGTAATTACGAGATCCGAGCTCCCTTTACCCCTCGGAGAGAATGCGGGTTCCCAGGGAAAGACAAGCCTAGAGCAGCAGGGGCTTTGTACGGCCACGCAAGGTTGTGTCCAGGACCGCCCCCGCGTCATATTTTAACACATCCACGGATACCAAAAACCCTTGGGTCCGCCATTCTCTTACATAAAAGGGACCCAGCCCCATCTTCCCAAGGGCTTTCAGAAGACTCGATACCTAACAGAATGGAAATGCCGTGTAAACAGAGGTCATGGCTGGGTTAGAAAACAGTGACGTAAAAAAGTTTGCACATGATCAGCACAGAAGCGTTTTTCTGGGTTTTGTTTTTTCTGACTTTTCCATTTTGTTAAGACAGTCTGGACTACAGTTCAGGCTGGCCTCTAACTCTAGGGACCCTCCTGATTCGGGCTCTCCTGTGCCCGAGTTACAAGTGGCCACCACCGTGCTTGGCTATTCCAAACATTTCCACAGTCGCAGAACATGAAAACGGAGGGCCCAACTGAATTTCCTTACTGCTAAAAAACCTTAAACTATTACTTTGTTTTTGAGAAAATGATGAATTTTCATTACTTTCACACTGTGTTAAGACCAACTAACTTTACTTTCGCTTGTCTGTTCTGCTGTGCTGGATGGCGGCGGGGTTCGAATCCAGTTCCTAAAGAACTTGGCCGAAGGTCTACCACTGAATCACACTTCCAGCCTCAAAAATTAAGATGAATCTACTTCTACAGAACAGTCCACTGCAGTCAGATTGGCCACTGCTTCTCAACGCTAAATGGGGAGCAATAATAAACTCTCAGTTTTGCTATCTCAACAAGAAAAAACTTGTTAGTATTGAACCATGCTTATTACTCCTACCTGATAAATGTTTAGTGTTACTCTGGAAGTTTTCAAGTTCAGTGAAAAGTAAATATAGCCAACTTCAAAAGAAAGTAATATTTTAAGAAGTAAACGGAACAAAAAACTGTGTTTCCTATCTGATTGGGGTTTTTCTTGTTTTTTTTTTTTTTTCTCTTTTTGAGACAGGGTCTTGCTATGCAGTTCAGGCTGGCCTTGTGCTCACTTTGTAGCCCAGGCCGGTCTCAAACTTGCAAGGATCCTTCTGCCTCAGCCTCCCACGTGCTGGGATTACAGGCGTGCGCCACCACGCATGGCCTCTGATTGGTTTTATTTAACAGTTTTTAAAAGAGGAATCAAATAAGAAAGCCCCAAAAATGCCATTGAGAGTGTAACAAAAGAGCAGTTTAAGAGTAAGCATTTGTTCTTACAGGCTCATGACTCCAGAGTAGACAGCAAGGAAAAAGGGAGAAACCAGTTCACACCACACTGAATTGCTACTGCTGCGGGTGAGCACAGGGCGAGATGCAGGACTGACTTCCCAGAACAAGGCTCCCAACTTTAAGTCCCGGCACAAGGAGGCAGGTACCACTCTCGGGCCTTTCACACAACCACAGCGCCCTTGGAGTGCCAGCCTCGGGAACAGCACAGACAACACTGTTACAAGCTACAAGTGAAGGTGTTTTCTTCCTCAAATGAACATACAGCACTGTATAAACAGTGATCTTCCAGAGTTGGGATTTTCCTGGAATAGGAATACAGGTAGAGCATCCCTAATGTGAAACCTAAAATGCTTCAAAATTTGAACCTTTCTGAGCTCGCTCATGAAATTCCACTGTTGACCTCATGTGGTGTACTGCTAGGTGCAACTACACTGAAAATATTATATAAAATTATCTTTGATCTATGCACATAAGGTATATATGAAACATAAATGAATTTTGTGTGTAGACTTGGTCTCTTCTCCTGAATATCTCATTATATAAGTGCAAACATTCAAAATCTGAATATATCTGAAATCCAAAACACTTCTGGTTCTAAGCATTTTGGAAAAAGGGACATTCACCCTGATTATACAAATTAACTCCTGCTCTTGCTCAGCTCAAAAAACAAATGGTGGAAGGAAGTCCTCTAGCAGGAAGAGAAGAGGCTCAGCTACGAGGGCAGCAAAAGGACACCTAAAAGGGAACTTCAGTTTTATTCTGACTTTCCACAAAAGCAATGCCCATAAATTACCCTTCCTTTTTTTGTTTGTTGAGACAGGGTCTTGTTATGCAGTCCAGGTTGGCCTTGAAATTACTATGTAGCCTAGGATGGCCCAAACTCCTGGTGATCCTCCTGCCTCAGCCTCCTGAATGCTGGGATTACAGGTGTGTACCCCCATGCCCGGGTGAACTACCCCTCCTATACCAGAATCTTCTTGAGTTCCAAAGTGAACTGCTTCTAAAATTTAGAAACTAGTGTGTCCACAGGAGAAATAAGATCCGTACAAATCTGCCTATGGGAGGTGGGAAACTGGCGATGGTACCTTTTACGGTTATGCAGAGAAATGTTAAACATATAAAAGTTTCTGTC